TAAGAACATTCTTCAAAATTATAAGGGCTGTATACGACAAGCCAACAGCCAATGCTATTCTGAAAGGGGAAAAGCTCAAAGCATTTCCCCTGAGATATGGAACAAAACAAGGATGTCCTCTTTCACCAGTTTCATTCAATATAGTACTGAAAATTTTAGCAAAAGAAATCATGTTGGAGAAAGAAATAAACGGCATCAAAATTGGAAGAATGGATGTCAGATTATCCATGTTTGCAGATAACATGAACGTGATGTTCTATGTGGAAAAATCTAACTATTCCACCAAAAAACTGTTAGAATCAATAAACTAATTCAGTAAAGTTGTAGATTACAAAATAAACCTACAAAAAACAGTAGCTTTTTTGTGTGCTAATGATGAACTCACAGAAAAATAAATCCCATTCACAATAGCCACCAAAAGGAATATATTTAACCAAGGAAGTGAAACATCTTTACAGTGACAATTATCAAACATTGATGAAAAAAACCATCAAGGACACACAATAATGGAAAGATATTCTTTGTACATGGATTAGAAAATTCAATAACATTAAAATGTCTATACTACCTAAAGCAATCTGCAGATTCAGTGCAATCCCTATCAAAATATCAATGACACTCTTTAAAACTAGAAAAATCCATCCTGAAATTCATATGGAATTACAAAAGACCCAGAATAGCCAAAGCTATTGAATAAGAAAATATGACTGAGAAAAAATGAAGCTGGAGGCATCATAATGCCTGACTTCAAAGCATACTACAAAGTTATAGTAACTAAAACAATGCGGTACTAGTGAAAAAAAAAAAAAGATACATAGACCAATGGATCAGAATATAAAGCCTAGAAATTGCCCCCCACACACAGAGCCAACAGAGTGACAAAAGTGCTCAGATCACAAGTGGAGTAAGGGCAATCTCTTCAACAAAATGGTGCTGGCAAAACTGGATTTAAATGTAGGAAAATGAAATTAGATCCATACCTCTCACCACATATAAAAATCAACTCAAGATGTATCAAAGATCTAAATTTAAGACCTGAGACTGTGAAGTTGCTGGAAGAAAATGTAGGGGAAACACTCTAAGACATTGGTGTAGGGGATGACTTCTTGGACAAGACCCCCAAAGCACAGGAAACAAATGGGACTGTATCAAACTCAGAAGCTTTAGCACAGCAAAGGAAATGACCAATAGAGAGACGATACATCCAACAGGATGGAAAAAATATTTGCAAACCAACTGACAAAGGATAAATATCCTGAATATATCAGCAGCTTAAAAAACTTGACAAAAAAAAAAAAATAACCGATCCAGTTGAGAAATGGGCAAAGGACTTCAATATACAGTTTTCAAAAAGAATACAAGGGGCTGGCGCTGTGGTGCAGTGGGTTAAAGCCCTAGCCTGCAGTGTCAGCATCCCACATGGCGCCAGCTTGAGTCCCAGATGCTCCATTTCCCATCCAGCTCTCTGCTGTGGCCTGGGAAAGCAGTAGAAGATGGCCCAAGTCCTTGGAGCCCCTGTAACCACATGGAAGACCTGGAAGAAGTTCCTGGCTCCTGGCTTCAGATCAGCTCAGCTCTGTCCATTGTGGTCATCTGGAGAGTCAACCAGTGGGTGGAAGACCTCTCTCTCTCTCTCTCTCTCTCTCTCTCTCTCTCTCTCTTTTTCAAATAAATAAGAATACAAATGGCCAATGAATATAAGAAAAAAAATTCTGAACATCACTAGCCTTCAAGGAAATGCAAATCAAAGCCACAATGTGATACTACCTCACTCCATCAGAATGGCTAAAATCCAAAACAAAGAGAGTAACAAATGCTGGAAAGGATGTGGACAAAAAGGAACTTACACACTGTTGGAGGAATGTAAATTAGTGCAGCTACTGTAGAAAACAATGTGGAGATTTCCTTAAAAGCTAGACATAGACTTGCAATGTGATCCAGCAATCCCACTACTGGGTATATACCCAAAAGACTTGAACACAGTGGATCAAAGTAATACCTGTACCACCATGATTATAGCAGCACTGTTCACAATAGACAAAATCTGGAATCAGCCAACATGTCCATCATCAGATGAATGGGTAAATAAAATGTGCTGTAAACATACAACAGAATTCCATCCAGTTATAAAAAAGAATGAAATTCCACCATTGGCAGCAAAATGGACACAATTGGAAGATATCATGTTGAATGAAATAAGGGGACCCAGAAAGACAAATACTGCATGTTCTCTCTTACATGTGGGAGCTAAAATGGAAGGAAGGAAGGAAGGAAGGAAGGAAGGAAGGAAGGAAGGAAGGAAGGGCAGGCTAAAGAAATATCTGTGTGGATCAGTATTGTTGCAAGTACAGCTTTGTAAAACTTCATTTTATACCTTTGTCAAACCAATGGTTAAGAGTATTACACTACTATAGCTTTAATGATCTGTGGTTGCCTTAAAATCTACTGCATATGTGGGAAATGGTCATTTTTCCATTCAATTGTTGTCTCTAGCCACTGTCTATATTCCCACTAAACTAAGGTCTTTCTGCTTTTTACTTGTTAAACTTCTTATTTGGTGAAGTATTAAGTTTTTTTACTGGAATGTAAATTTAAAATAGGCTATCCCAGAAAGGAAGAAGGCAGGAGGGTGGGAGAGGAAGAGGTGGAGGGAGGGGGAAGGACATATCGTTGTGTTCTGTCTACAGCCATACCATCCTGAACATGTCTGATCTCGTCTGAAATCAGAAGGAAGAACATATCATTACGTTCTTAGAACTGTATCTACAAAGCACACTGGGTCTGTTAGAACTAATTAAAATTCTAAAAATAAAACAAAATAAGCAGTAAATAAACAAACAATAAATTTATTTAGAAATTAAAGGCAAAAAAAGTTCATGGAAAACTAGAATTAAAAGAGAAGTTTATTTTGGTACAAAATGTTTATTGAAATCTATGCCTAGTTTTTCCTAATATACATTTTCCACGGACCCTTTGAAGTTCATGCAACTTCTGAAGTACGCACAGAGTTTGAATTGTTTGCAGCATAGTAAAAAAAAAAAAAAAAAAAAAAAAAAAAAAAAAAAAGACACAAGGCCTACAAAAGGATTTTGTGCCAATTCCGTGTAGCAGGCCAAGGCTAAAGGTCTCCTTCTTCAAAACTGACGACAATGAAAAGGAGCAATCTGCGCTCCGTTTAAACAGACACTGAGCTGTTCTAAATGTCGTAGGGAAAGCAACAATGCCTTTGAAATATACACCTGCTGTGCATACGTGAGAAAGAGAATGATAGCAAGGGGTGGTAAAGGCCTCACTACAGCCTTTCCAATTAGAGACGGGAAGGGTGAAATGAAATAGCCAAAAAGACAGAAAGATGAATGTGAGAGGGGTGGGTGGATGAATGGAAAATGATGGATGGATGGATGGACAGATGAATGGATTCATATACGAGGGATCTTCATGGAAGATGCATATTATGAAAAAAGTATGCATGGATTTCAAAAATGCACCAAAATAAACTTACCTTTTCATTCCATTTTCCGTATACATTTTGAAGTACCTTGTAGTTAAAGAGGTAATTGTGTGATAGATAAATGCAAACAATGAGGCAATGTGCACAGAAATCATTTAGGTATCTTAAAAGAATAATAGCGCTATATCCTTTGGAAACAAAATTTTATGTGATTGTTATGATGACAAAACTAAAGCACATTTGTGCAAAGAGGTCCAATCCATATCAAAGCAAGAAGAGGCCTACACAGCTGGGCTGGTGAGCACGAAAGAGCAACGGAGCCAGGAACATCTGCCAGTGATTGCAGGGAAGACTCCGCAGGCTGTAAAAGGAAGAAAATGAGAAAGACAAAGGAGGTACATTTAGGATTTGAGAGTGAGAACGGAGAGGTCAGAGAGTAAAACAGGTGGGATAATAAGAAACTAACAAATGCAAAGGAAAAATCTAGCGGGGATTTCGTATCTCAAGAGACAAACAAAAGATGCATGAATACACATCATAGGAAAAAGGATTTTTTTTTTATTTGAAGACCGTGCCAACCTGTAGGCCAGAAAAGGTGCTGGCTTCCAGCCGCATTGTGCAGCCTTGTGTGTGCTCACGATGGAATTGATCCACCCAGCTCCGGGGTCTGGCTTTCAGCCTTGCAGGCTTGAAGGCGGAATTCTGCCAGCACTGGGAGTGGGTCCAGGGCCCAGCTTCACAGACCCAGGTAAACCAGGATGTCAATTACACACGCAGAAGTGCACCCTTGCCTGCAGGCGGTCTTCAGAAGAAAGCAAATAACATCTGGAAGACCGCTGGTGGAGATGGCATTGGCATGGAGAAGTGCTGTAGTGTAGAGGTTAAAGCCTAGAGCACGTGAGTTTGCCTCTTGCTAGCTATGTGACCTTGAGCAAAGCTAATCAATCCCTCTATTTCTCAATTTTCTCCTCTACAAAACAGGGCATGCTGCTTTTCTATTCCTACATAACAAATCACCGCAAATTGAGTGGCTTAAGGCAACGGTCATTTGTTTTGTTCACGAGTCTGCCATTTGGGCAGGGCTTGGCAAGAACAACTCACAAGTGCTCCGTGTGCTGTTCACCGGAGCGACCCCATGTCGGGACTGCAGGATCCATGTACATAATGGTAAGTTGGTACTGACCCTTGTCTCGGGACTCAGCTAGGGCTTTGGACCAGGGATTCACAACCTCAATGTGGGCTTTCCCATAGGCTTCTGGGGCTTCCCTAAACCATGGTGGCTGGGTTCCAAGAGCAAGCATCTCTGGAGACCAAAAGTAAGAGGTTGGCCCAGAGACTGTCACATGTGATATTCCATTGGTCAGGTAGCCGCAGTGCACAGATTCAAAAGGAATCGACATGGGGCTGCCCAAACCTCTCAATAGGGAAGGTGTTGAGGAAGCGTGGGGTCATGTCCTAAAGGCACAAGGGTCAGCCCTTTGCCCACAAAGCATTTCCCTTCCCCCCACATGCAACATGCGGGCGGCTCTCCTAACGCCCCCACCCCATCTTCCCCTTTACAGATCAAGTTTCCTCTCTGAAGGCCAAGCGAGCAGCGAGTTCCTCTAGAACAATTCTCATAAAAGCATCTGGATTTCAAATAAATTTTATTGGGGTTTACTCCATTAGGTGAAAGCCACAATGGGCAAATCTCTTTGAGAGAAGTCCTTTCCTTCTTGGGCTCCCTGTGAGGCTCCTGTGGCACAAACGTCCTTTCTAGACTCAGAAGCCTTGTGCTGAATGAGTGGTTTCAAGAGGCAGCCTTGAGAGCCTTAGAGCAGCTTCTGAGAAGTTCCAGGCACTGCCCTAACTTTTCTGAGTCATAACGAAGGATCTGAGGGTAACATCGTGGGTTTGATCTTTGCCCTGGGTCCTTCCTTGAGAATTATTTCCCATATGGTGGATCCAGGAATGAGAATTAACTTTATCGTCAAATCCAGGAAGCTCTGACTTGTTTCCATTTGTTTGTTTATTTTTTATCAGCTCTTTATCTCCTCTCAATTTTCATGATAGAGAGAGGAAAAAAATCAGGCAACACTTGTAATATTCTTCCTGAACATCTCCTTAGCCAATACATTAATTCGGTTCATTTCCTGTTTATCACTTTAGGCAACATCGCTACCAACCCTGTTGATTCAACAGCACCCCATTGCCAGCTACCAGTATCTTCTTGGTTTCTTGCGAATCACTTTATGATTCAATCCATTAACAACCACCTCCTCCTAGACCTGTTGAGTAGGTTACTAGTTGGTGTCTGTAATATGCTGGTGGTACAGAATATGGTCTTCATTAATGTTTTTCCATTATTTAAATGCTTATAATGTGTGTTTTCTGTATTGTGGGGAATATTCAGCATTGCTGTACAAGAAAACAAATGGAATGCATGAAACTCATAATTAAGCAGTAAACATATGCTTAGTATATACGTGCAGCATCCTGCCCCTGGTGGCCACTGCCCATAGCTGCTCAGTAGGCTAACTGACAAGTTACAGTGTCTCTCTCCAGTACAGCAAATGTTTGTCACTAAGCCTGTGTCTTCTGATTGGACCCCCTTCATCAAACCTCAGCTCTGGTCCTCGTAATGACACACGCAGCAGGCAAGGCCAGTGTGGCAGAGAGGTAGACAGACGTGTGATTCTTGAATAACTTGGGAACCTGGTGCTGTGGTCTTCCTGTCACCCCCACATCATATTATGTTAATTTATCCCATATCGTTCACCTTGTATTGTGGGTTAAATTGTGCCACCACTCTCCCACCCCCAGAATCTTGAAATTCTGATCCCAAGGATTTGTGAATATGACTTTTTTTTGGGGGGGGGGGGCTTGGAAATAGGGTCTTTGCAGATATAATCAAAGTAAGGAGACGTCATGCTGGCTTACTGCAGCACTAAATCCAATCGCTAGCATCCGAACAAGAAGAGATGCAGACCCACAGAGGGAGAATGGTGCAGGTGGATGGAGGCAGAGATTGCAATTCTCAATGCGTCTGCAAGCCCAGGACACCACACATTGTCGGCAACAATCAGATGTAGGTACAGGCAGGAAGAACCTCCTCTAGCACCCTCAGAGGAAGCATGGCCCCGCTACCACTTGGATCAGACTTGCAGCTGTCAGACTTACGGGAGGATAGATTTCTGTTGCCCTGTAAAACAAACCCTGGAAAGTGAAAGGTAGGATGCAAAAAATCGCAGAGAGGGGACAAAAGGGCAGAGAAAACCCAAAAAACTACCTAAGGACACACAATCAGGGGAGTCCAGCTAATCAAATCCAAGGAGCAGGATGGAAATCCAGAGGCCACTAGAATCAATAACGATGACAGCAGCCATCAGAGCGGCGCCCACTTGCAGAGCATCTGCTCCCCTCGGGCCCTGTGCTATACATTTTTCTTCATTTCCTCTGATAATTACAGCAAGCACAAGGTAAATTTTCTTACAGGAAGATCAGACAATAGTCTGGAGAACACTCAGTGACTGCCTCGGGGTCACGCAGGAGAGCAAACGGCGGAGCTAGATTCTGTCTTGCTCCAGTACTTTGACCTTTTCCGGGGTATCACTCGGCCTCCCAAATACGGAATGTCAGTATACACTGGAGTGCCAAGGAGATGAAGTGGGAAAACCCAGGGCTAAACACAGAGAAGAAACTAGATGATCATCGAAAGGCCTAGAAAAAGAGCTCCAACACCCTCAACGAAATAGAAAGAGAATGAGACCCGAGGGCAGCTTGCTGCCTCCCTCCCTCCTCTCCACCCTTTCTCCCTCCCACCCCCTTTCCTCCCTTCCTTCCTTCCTTTTCTTCCTCATTTTAAACATATGAGTCTACTTCAAGATGTTTGCAGAAAAGTAGAATTAAAAAGATAATTTTATTTTGACTCAAAAAACTTAATTCATGCATAGTTTTTTCATAATATGCATTTGCCACAAACTTTTTAAATATCCCCTCATATGAATGGATTTTAATTGTTTTGCACCAAAATAAATGTATCTTTTCATTCCATTCTCCACAAACTATTTGAAACCCTTGAGTACAATCTGGAAGGTTAAAAATAGATTAGATTTGGGGGTGGGGGTATCTTCATGGTTATCAGGATTCATTGGGAAGGGGTAAGGAGAAAGAATACCAACTCTCACTTCCTACATAAAGTTCTAGAAACAACAGTAGCAAGAAGGAATTTTTAATGAATTTCTGGGAAAGGTGAAAGTACTGGAAGTAAATCAAAGTGACCCCCAAATCCAAACATTTAAAAACCTTCAATAAGAACAGATAACTTAAAAGTTACTTGTTTAGCCCATATGCTAACTTTCCCTCCACAAGGCACCGGACCAAGAAAGTTTAAGAGCTATTGAAGGAATAAAGCTACTTTATTAATGATGAAGAAAAAACTGAAGATAATTTATCAAATTCAGGGATATTTTGCAGAGGTATATGGCAAATGACCAAATTTCTTCAAACAAAGAGAAATAAATATGTAAGAGGAATGATCAAGTTGATGAAAGCCCTCCTGGCTTGGGAAGGGATAAGAGAATGGCGGGACATGTTTAAAAAATGATACAAAGAAAAGTCAAAGGAAGGAGGAAAGCCAAAGTCTTTATAAAAAAAATTAAAAAAAAAAAACAAATAAATGCTCCCAGCTGTGGAAGTATGAAATGCACGGAGAGGGAAGGAGGGGAAGTGAAGCCAAAAAAACAAACAAATGAGAAATGCCGGAGACAGTGTCAAGGCAATGACAGAACAGGGAGATCCAGAGAGAATGGAATTTCTTCTCATGAACATCTTCATGTTCACAAGGCAAGCAAAGTGGTGATGGCTGAAGGAGAGACAGTAGAGGGTAGGTGGCAAGAGGCTGGGTGCAAACGTTAGATGCAGTGTTCCAGATCCAGCTCCAGTTCCAGATCCAGTTGCCAAAGTTTTTGGCAACTTTATAATTTCTTTTTTTCCTTTTTTAAGGAAACTTTCTTAACCTCTCTGTGCCCCGGGTTTCTCTTTGTGTGTGAAATTGGAGAAAAGCAAGACTTTCATACTTGCATTATCTTCTCTAGCCTGGATCGCTATGGGGCATAAACGAGATGAACAGATGATGCTTTGACATGAAGCTTGGCTCAGAGGGATGAGACAGTAGTTGTTCATGGTGGTGATTAATCATTTATGATGACCCTGGAGGATAAAAACCAGCGGAGAGTCCTGAAAGAGAAACTGAAGATAATATGCAGGAGAAAGAGAAAGAGATAGAGATAGAGACAGAGATAGAGACAGAGTCAGAGACAGAGATAGAGAGAGAGAGAGACAGGGAGAGGGAGAGGGAGAGATAGATAGAGAGAGAGAGAGAGAGAGAGAGAGAGAGATGGGGTAGGGATAGGGAGAGAGGGAGAGGGGGAGATGGGGAGATGGGGAGATGGGGAGGGGGGAGAAGGGGAGAAGGGGAGAAGGGGAGAGGGAGAGGGGGAGGGGAGGAAGAGGGGGAGGGGGAGAGGGAGATGTTTGAGAACTAAAAGAATAGTTCTCGAGGAACGGATTGAGCAAATACAGCTCACAAACTGAGTTGCACCATCACTGTTGAAGGGAGAGGGCCCCGCGTGGAGCGCTCCCGTCAGAGTTCTTAAAAGACAACTGAGAATGTACAGGATCCAGCACATGAGAGAAGATGGAAATGAACTCCGAAATGAAATCAGCCAGCATTAATGAGAGCTGATTGAGGAAAGAGGCAGCACAGCGAGGACCGAGGGCACATCCTGAGTGCACATTCGTAGTTCAATTACGGCACTTCTATATCCTGAGCGACCTGCCAGCTCTATATATGTTGACGCTGGAAAACCCTCTAGGAAGCATTTAGTGATAAAGTGCAGGACACTGTGTATATTAGCTGATTCTATTTTACGAAGCATTTCATCTGATTTCCATGTATATAAGTAAACCAGATACACAGAGGCTAGGAAATGGAGTGGGGGTATAGAAGGGACTTTTCCTTTTTTATTAGTTACTCAGTGGATGCCAACTTCAGGTCTATGACTTCAGGAAGCTTGGACAAGTTATTTATCCCCCTGTCTATGAAGTGAGGGTGGTAACCTGCTGGGGCTGAACGAATGAATGGATGTATGGGCTAAGCAACGATTCCAATGTGTGGAGCTCAGAACCAGGCCTGGCCCTGGAAGTCCCCCCTCTGTAAGCTGTCGGCGATTCTGCTGTACCCTTTGCAGTCACCTTACCACAAGCACAGTCATTCTGTAAGTGTCAAACGCAGAAGAAAGATCACTTACAAGTTGATAAAAGAGAAGGGGTCGTTGCTGTCCGTTCTTCCATGTTGCTTCTCCAAGAGGGTGTCAGTACATTTTGTAGTTTTCCTCAGAATCCTGTGGGTATTTTAATTGGTCTTGTATTAAATTTGTGGACTTGCTGAGGGAGAATGGACAGCTTCATTTGGTTAAGCCTTCTTATCCAACATCAAGGCCCATCTTTGAGGTCTTTCTTATATTCCTTGTATAATCCAAAAAATGTATGAGTACTTGTACATTTCTTATTAAGTTAGTTCAAAATGCATTTTTAAAATTAATATTGTAAATGTGATCTTTTTTTCCATTATATTCTTTTATTTGATCTTGTTTATATATAGAAAAGCTATGAGGGGAACGAATCCTACTAGATATTAAAATGTATCCGTGGAAGTTTAATGATTAGAAACAGTTTGATGCCAAAGAGGAAATGAGAAGATCAAAGGAGAGAAAAGGGAATGCAGACATAAACTCTAATTCACATGGGAATTTAGTATCTTATAATCAAAAGGGAGAAAATGAATTAAGCCCTAAATTATAGAGGGAAAAACTTGCCATTGGGTTAGAAAAAGATGACTCCTCTTCTCAGGCTCTATGTTAAGTAAATCTAGTTTAATCAGAGGTTATTTTAAAAAGTGAAACTAAAAAATCAAATTAATCAAGGCTTTAAAAAATAACCCTATTATGGGAATAAGAGAAAGCAGAAGTTACTCATAATTTTGGCATTGGAAATGCTTTCTAGGCAATACATAATGAAACCTAGACATCATACAGGAAATTTAAATGTTTATGTGGTCAACTTTATCCAAACATCTGTTTGGAAACAGAATAAATCATAAATAAAATCAATTGACAACAAACTGGAAACATATTTGCAACTCATGTAAAAAGGTTCAAAGTTTTAAATTCACAGAGTTCATACAAATCAATTAGGAAAAAAAAATCTGACAACCCAATTGAAAAGTCAAATGGATTAAGGCAATCAACATAGTTTGTAGAAATGAAATTCTATAGGCCAATAAGTACCAGGAATAAATGCAGTCACACAAGCCTCAAAGCTGACCTCAGGGAGGCCAGAGAGGACCACAAGACTGTGCTGAGCCAACGTGCCCTTCTGCTCAGCTGGGCATGGGGCTACTCTGGCCAAGCCAGTCCGTAAGCTGTAACTGATGCCTCTCTGTGATCTTTCTCCTGGGATGGCTGTGCCCACAGGACAAACTCACTCAGAAGAGTTGGGAATAGATAACAGAATTTTCCTGACTTTACAATCAGGAGTTACTTTTTAACTTGAACACTTTTCAAGTTTCAACTTTAAGGGGAAAAAAGATCCATCCTGGTGTAGTTGGTGCCTGAACCTGACTGGGCTTCCCCTCCCTGCACCCTGGACTGGCAAGTGCGCATGTTCCCTAGCAGTGCCACAGCCCAGCACCTCCGAGCAAGGCTCTGCAGACCCACGCTGCTCTTTGGACACCTCTTGAGGGTCTTTGACTGACCCCCTCCCCTGGTCCAACACTCTATCTTCCCGTGAGTGTGGGCTGCCTCTGGTGTTCCCATGTACAGGGCTTCCTATTTCTTCTCCAGATCCTTGGTCACTGTTGGAACTCTACGGCATGATCGCCACGATTAGCTTTTCAGGGATGACCCTGTCTTGTATTTGGAAATCTTTCTCCTTGGGGACCACCAGCCATCCAGTCTTCCAGCGTGAATGCTGAACCTTCAATTACTGGTCACCTTGTGTTCTCATAAAGTTGAGATGGGACCACACAAAACCATAAAACAATTCCTAAAATGGAAAGGTAAGTTGAGTATCCCTTATCCTAAGTGGCTGGCCCTGGAAGTGTTTCAGATTTTAGTATATTGGTATCTATATAACAAGATATTTTGGAGACAGGGCCCAAGTAGAAAAATGAATTTCATTTATGTTTTCTATGTACCTACACTCAGAGCCTAAAGGCAATTTTGTGTAATATTTTAGATAATTCTGTGCATGACACAAAGTTGGCGTGCACTGAACCATCAGGTTGTGGTGTCATGTCAGCGCTCAGAGAGTTTCAGATTATGGAATATTTAGGAGTTCAGATTTCTGGATCGGGGATGCTCAACCTGTAACTGTCCCAGTGTCCTTTGTTTCCAGTAAACACACAGCCTGATCTCTCCGAGGCTGCTGGGCTGAGACTTTGCCACCACCCACTTGAGTCAATACACAGCAGTAGGTCAGTTGCTCTACTGTTCACTTAGGCCAAGTTGTATTTAAAAGAAAGCGATTCAATAAAGGAGCTCTTCCCTCAGCGATCTTTTTATTTCCCCAAGTCAGGAAAGTACATTCATCACGCAAATACTAAGAAACTTACAAGGGGAATAACTCAAGGATGGTTCATCTACACAGCAACCACTGCTTTGTTGTAACATAATCATGTAGGTGTAATTATGTTTAGATAATATGTACAGACACTCCTTGGTTCATAGTGGGGTTGTGTCCTGATGAAACCATTGCAGATAGAAAATGTTGTAAATGAACGATTCACTGGATACAGCTCACCCACCAAATAGCCCACCTCCGCAGGGGAGCTTCCTTTTCCTCTTCTTGTACCCTCACTTGAGGAGCCCCGAGCCTGTCCTGTAAGAAGCCCAGTGGCCCTGCAGAAGACAGCAACCTGGAGAGGCTCTGAGCAAGCCTTGCATGCGTCTCTACCAAGGGGCCAGACCTGGAGGGACTTCTTCCTGGACCCTAAGAACTGAGCAGCTGCCAACCGAGGACCACCCGTGGCTCGGCTGATGCTACAGAGAACGGAAGCAGTACCAGGAGAACCTGCCCACCACGCCATTAGACTTGATAAAACAGACGTTGCTTCAGGCCATTAAACGTGGTCATACATCGCTAGATACCTGACACTCCTTCTCATAGATCAAAAATCACAGTGAGTGAAGTGACTTGTTCCAGATTCCACGCCAAATTAATACTGCAGCCCAGCTCAGGCAGCCTGCCTGGAAACCTGTAATCTTAGCCACTCCACTCCACTTACCTTAAAATGATAATCAACGTGCAGAGCTGGGGCCTGTATAACATCCTGTTTCCTCTTAGCAGCCACTCTAATTCCTACCTAATGAAGAATTTGTGCCAAAGGCATATGTCCTCTCTGGGTCTGCAGGTATCCACTCGTGCTTGTTTGCAGTCCTTCTGAATTCCTCCCGTAGATCTGTCTGTGTTTAAGACAATAGGGGAGGGAGCCCCATTTCTCCTCTTCCTTCAGCACAGATCCTATCAGCTGTCTGCCTTATACCAAGGGGCAGGCCAACTCTGGGCTTCAGGAAGTAGATTCTGTAGTATTCAATGTGGCTCGGTGATTTTCCCAGGAGACAGAGACCCTGGGGTCTTGGCAGCTTCCCTGATAAGCTATCCTCCCGTCTATTTTATATTAGAATCTATTGTTTACTGAAAGAGGGTAGGGGTCAGGCAAAGAGGAGACTCCAGCCCAGCTTCCTGACAGGCAGATGGGCCTGTACCTGCAGCCTTTCTGGAGCCAAAAAGGTCAAGGGTCAAGGACCCAGAGGTACTGATGAACTCAAGGGACTTTGGCTAATTAAACACTAACAATTGTAGACATTCCTACTCCCAAGACATAAGAAATAACATGCTGTATAGCATGAGACAAACAGGTACTCCACGCCAGTGCTGTTGAAGGCCATTTTCACAACAAACAGGGCAAACGCACAAAGCCCAGACACACCTTCTTGGGCCATCCCGTCAATCCCTGGCTGGACTGGGGATGCTGAACCTGGAACTGTCCCAAATTGAAAGCAATTTGATTTCAGCCTCCCAAGATCGACCTCATCAAAAAACAGAGTGCAGGTCACAGGCACGGGGTGCTCGGTGATGTCTCCCAGAATTTAAAACATCAAGTTAAGCGGCAAGCACCAGACGTTCCTAAACATGGTGATTCAACGGATTCCTAAGTTTGACTTCCTGAGCTGTGCTCTAGAAATACATAGTAAAAAGCATAGAATTAGGATCCTGAGACTTTAGAGACGGACCAACCAAATGGTTCTGAATAAAAAAATTCCCAACATGAAGCAATGGTTCTAGGTACCAGCTGATACCCTAAGCATTTTTGCATCGGTTAGGACATTCATTTTACAACCACCTGGTGAGGAGACTATTATTACTATCCCTCATTTTATAGGTGAGGAAACTGATGCCTACACAGCTCCACTTTTAGCCATTATTATGAATATAATCCTAAAATACATGATTGTTAAACAGTGTTTGCATTTAAAAAAAAAGATTTTATTCATTTGAGAGGTAGAGTTACAGATGGAGAGAGAGACAGAGAGAAAGGTTTTCCATCTGCTGATTCATTCCCCAATTGGCCACAACAGCTGGAGCTGGGCCGATCTGAAGCCAGGATCCAGGAGCTTCTTCCAGGTCTCCCACGTGGGTGCAGGGGCCCAATGCTTGGGCCATCTTCTACTTTCCCAGGCCATAGCAGAGAGTCGGATCAGAAGAGAAGCAGCTGGGACTTGAACTGGCACCTATATGGGATGCCAGTGCCATAGGTGGAGGCTTAGCCTACTATGCCACAGTACCAGCCCCTAAAAAAATGCTTTAAAATCACTGCTTCAGTCTAACCATGGATTAGCTCAATGAAACAACAGGAAATCCCAGCAGTTTGCAGACCTGCCCATGAATTAGTTGGGTTTTGCTGGCTTAGGCCCCAGAACTCCTCTCTGGTGTATAGCCTGATGTTTTCCCCAATGGATTCAGCTTCTCATGGGTGATCATAAATTGGGTTACATGTTTTTACTCTTTTTTCTCCCATTTTATGTCTTCATACATCTTTATCCTTTGGTATCCCTGGGGGACTGATTCCAAGACCTCCCCTACACACACAGATACTAAAATCTGATAACATTCAAGTCCCTTACATAAAATGGCATTAGTATTGTCCTATAACCTGCACACATACTTTAGATAATCTCCAGATTACTCATAATACCTAACACAATATAAATATGATAAAACAGCTGTTATACTGTATTATTTAGGAACAATGACAGTAATAACAGTAATAATAATGATGATGATGATGAAATTTTTTAAAGATTTATTTATTTATTTGAAAGGCAGAGTTACAGACAAAGAGAGTGCGAGATCTTCCATTCACTGGTTCACTCTCCAAATGATTGCAACAGCTGGGGTGGAGCCAG